GCACTTTTGTAAAAACACCATAGATTAAATATGCTGACCATGCATTCTGATTTACAGTAACAACTTGACGTAGAGAGATTGAGCAGCTTTTTCATGTTAATATAGTAATTGTCAAGAGAATGCAATAAATCAACAAAAACAAATGAACATTTCTATTGGTTTACTGGTTAAGAGTTATGGAAGCCAAGAAATAGTTCATGCAAAAAAGGTTAACTTCAATTTATAGATATCAGGAATTAAATTTACTTGTTAACATTTGAACTCAACTTCAATGCATTCATTTATTAAGTACTGATGAATGATTTCAACACTGCTATACAGAACCAGGACTATTGTGGGCTTAATCAATCAAACGACAATCAAAAGATATCTTCTGGTTCCTTGTTGGCATAAGGTCAAAGTATAAAGGGTGTTTTAGTATTGTGTATTTTAATAACTTAGTATTAGCATTGCTTTGTAAATTGTAGCATTGTAAACAAGATCAGGGTTAAAGATGAGTTAATGGTGTTAACACTGATTCACTAATTGTGCGAAGGATCAGAGTACTTTACGCAGTTGAGATGTTGAAACAAAGGTGGCTGCAACAGAATACACACGGCTTGGAAATTTCACTAAATATAAGGTTGCCACTGCAAAGAGCTAGGGTTAGGGTTATTTGCTATTTGCTATTTGCATCATGCTATTTGCATCTCATTTTGAAGCAACAAAATATTTGATGAGATTGTTGGGTTAGCCGGGTGACATCCACTTACAGAAATCCATCAGCATACTTAAGAGTATCCAAACCAGACAGAGTTCCAACTATAACCTGGACATGAGAACAGCATGCTGTGCTGAAGCTGTGCAGTCAAATCAAGAACCAGCACTATTATTAAGGTGAGCCCCATTTTAACTATATGCCCACCCTCTCCTTTAATATATACCCCAGAATCTAAGCACTGTAAATCTGTATTATACAATGTGAAAGCATTTGAAGTGATGATTCAATAGCCTTTCAGATATGGTGCTTCAACAGAGTACTGTGGGACTCATCAAACCAGTTTTTTAAGTTAAAAGTAATGAAGTTTGACTGTTTTTGGTGTGGGTCTGCACACACCTATCAACTGGCTGGACTCTTGCCCCAGTTCCTCCCTTCAGAATTTTCATCTTCATCATTAATCCGTGAGGACAAGAATTATTTTAAAGTTAGGAGGAAAAGAGAGATAAAACTCATTCAACAGTGTTTTTAGGAACTGAACAATTTTAGTATATAGATTGTATCAAAAATCTCAGATGATTACATAAATATGTTCTGATATAATGTACCTTAGACACTTTGGTTTCGAGACATTTGGGAACGTTAAGTTACAGATTTTCATGTCAAGTCACTGTTAATTTAGCTGCACATCATGCAAGGCTTTCATTGAACGTGTGTCATACTTAGCAGAACCACAGATGTTAGCTTGACTCCTTTATTCATTTGGTTTTCATTATTGACTCAAACTGACTCGAGTACTTGACTGAGGAAAACGACCATATCATTGTTTTCAGACTTCAGTCTATGACTTAACTGAAATACATCTGCAGTACAAGAAATACCAAGTACCTCTTGGCGCCAGGGCTGGCGCCTTAATATATGACTACCACTCACAGTTTTTCTGATTTAAGAAGTTTAGTAACCCCCAGAAATCTATTTCACAGAACTCAGACTGTGACTAAATGCGATTCACAAACATCATTATTAATTCTTTTCAAATCCGTAAAATTTATTGCAAAAAAAATCAGCCTCGTAGAAAGAACATTAGCTCAGAAGACAGGATTGGAAAGCTGACGAGCTGTTTGTGATTGCTTAATCTAAGTGCTGCTTAAATATCAATGCACACTGCATTCAATTTAACTAAGCTAATGTGCTATATTAGTTCTCATTCCGCGATGTCATTAACAAATACAATCAATTTATATATGTCTCAGTATAATTTAACAGTTGAGAAGTAGTGATCATTTAGGATTGTGAATTCATGTGCAGAATTACATTTTTGGAATTAACATGCAATCCTATTTTAGGCATGACCACATGAGCTTATGGGAAGGAAGGTGAACAGTTTAGATTTATTTATAATAATAATAATCCTTGCATTTGATACAGCGCCTTATCAGGCCTTCGAGACGTCTCAAAGTGCTTCACAGAATATACAATATAGAATTATAATATTCAATATAGTTACTTTATATTGAGGCTGGACAGTAAATATATAGAATAGGCTGATCAGGGAAACAGTGGAGATGCTAAGTGAAGGCAAAGTCAACAGGGAGCTCAATAAATTTTCTGGCAAAAGATGCAATTGAATGTTATGAAAAACTGAGTAACATATGGTATTCTTTAAACTTTGGAACTGGCCAAATGGACTGCAAGTCTTTTTGCTGCGGGATATTCCCATGTTAACACGTTCTCTTCAACCTCATCGTCCTCCTGTCACCACTGCTTTACTTATTGCAATAACCTTCAATAATATTCTCTCTTGGCTCCTGTGTAGTGCAGGTGTGAGTTGCACCTTTTTGGAGTTGTTGGAGGTGCCGTCCTTTGAATGAGACATTAAACTGAGATCCCATCAACCTGTTCAGGTGGATGTTAAAGGTCCCATGGCACTATTCAAAAAGAGAAGGGAGTTTCTTCTGATATCCTGACCAACAATCCCACTAGATAAAATTGGTGATTCCCTTGACAGTTTGTGTAACACTGCTGTTTGCAAACAACTTGCCTCCAATTACACTGCCACTAGAATTTACAGTATATCATGTGAAACACTTTGAGACATCCTGCTAAAGTTAAAGTCTCTATATTAAATGTAAGGAGTATCATTGTTAATATAAGAGTTTATGGGTTTTGTGCTGGTCAAGGTGAGGGTTGTGAACTCTGAGGATTAGAGCCTTTCCCACATTTTAACACTCAATGTCCACATCCAACCCTCCCAGTTCCTGGATAATGTATAGCCTTCTCCCTCTACTGTGCCCATAAACTGTACAACTTAATAATAACAATAATCCTTGCATTTGATATAGCACATTATCGTTGAGACGTCTCAAAGCGCTTCATAGAATATACTGTAAAGTGAATTGACTGTATTTTGTGGGTGAAAGGCAGCAGCCAATTGCAAGCAGCAGTGTCCCACAAACAGTCATGGTTTGAGTGACCAATCTTTTCTGAATTTGTTTTTTGGTGGGAATATTATTTCTCCTTCAAGATGAGTTGCAAAAACTACAGCCCCTTCATTTTGGCAGGATATAAATATCTGAGGCTCCAAACTCCTTGTAGTCTTTATACAGCATATTTGAGGCTCACAATTCTCAAGGTTAAAGCATTATTCTAAAATTTTAAAAATTCAGAAAATGTCTTAAATTTCTATCTCAATGTGAAAGCCCTTTAAAAATTCTCTTCCAAATTAACAACAGCTTACAATCGTATAGCACCTTTCACTTAACCACAACCAAAGAGCGTCCTTCAAGTCATTGCAACATTTCAAAAACTATACACCCTTAAGGGCACTCTGACTGAGATTGCTAATTTAGTGGTATTTTGGGCTCATGCCAATTTCAAATAGAGTTATCACAGATATGAGACAATGTCAAAATATGAGTATTTCAGCCTTTCTAAAAAAAGATAATATTAACAAGTGAGCATTCCAAGACAGTACCCCACATGGTGCTATATAAATGCAAGTGGTCTCCAAAAATTACACCAATTAGCATTTTCTCAGGCAATCAGTGCTTAAAAAGAAACACATCTGCTGATAGTTTAAATTCTACCTCGTCAAAAACTTCAGGCAAAAACTCAAGCATTACCAACTAAATTGGTAAAAAAAANTCCTTGAACAAAATTCACTTGTAAATTTTGTCTTTTCTATGTATTTAGTGTTAGTTTTACGGTGGTGTGACTATACCAACCTAGCTGCTCCCTCCACTCGTTGGGCACTGGCCTATTCCATGTCCCCTGCCGTATCCAGCCCACGGTTGGCGCTCGGGCCTTCAGCTTTTTTGCCTATACCCTCTGGAATTCCATCCCAGAATTGCTCCCCCTCCCTTGCCTCCTTCAAGGCCCATGTCAAGGCCATCCTCTTTGACCGTGCCTTTGGCCACCCTCCCACCTCACTCTCGATTCTAACCCCTAGCTCAGTTGCAAAACTTTAACCGTCCAGCGCCTTGGGACGTCTTTCCGATGTGAAAGGTGCTATATAAATGTAATTCTGTGGTTATGTTACAATCTTGTATCTTATCTTTATCCTCCCTCGGCAAGATCACTGAGAGGATAGGTCGGCAGTTAATTCATAGACCTTTACAGACACTGCCTTTAACTAAGTTTCCAACATTTCTAATGAAAGATTAGCCTAAGATACTTCCCCTTATTTCTCTTTCCTCAAGTGATCACCCTTTAATATTTTGCAGATTTGAGCATTGTAATGGCAAACGTGGGTCCCGTTCCTTGGTGGCACTGCATGTTATTAATACAATGTGCCAAAGCACCATACAGTCCTTGTAATGGATATTTTCCCAACATACTTCAAAGAGTTGCTGCCTTATTAACAGGTGATCAAAACCTTAAGGAATATATTCAAGCTTGTGTTCAATACATCTGTACCACTTCTTCTTTGGCACACATACCAACATTTAGAAACTGAAATTGGAAATCCACATGCAATCCATTTTAACCACTGAAATTTTACCCATTCATTTAGGATTTAAAATACAAGCCATGTTGCGTGCTTAGCTTTCACAGGAGAATTATGAATGACAGAGCTATGAATGCCAGTTACCACTGTTAAGTTTGAGTGTGTGTGCATGTTCATCACTTTTAAGACAACGAGACATTTATTCCATTGCCACATATAACATATCCTCATATCTTCAAAGTAGTACTTAGGTTAACAGTTGAATCATATCAGATTATGGACAGCTGTAAATGCTTCTGAAAAATCGTGACAAATAATTTTATGGGTAATTTGCCAAAGAGCACTGGAGCAACTTACCATGCTGGATATCTTTCATCTCCAAATGTAGGCTGGACATTAGGATCCCAACTGCTTGTGACCTCTTGTTGTTCAAAAGTTTCACCACCTGGAACAAAGGGAAGAAAACAGCAAATTTAGAAGTGAATCATGAACATACAGATAGTGCATTTTATATATATAAAAAGATGTTACAAACATTTCTGGTTATCCTTTCCAGCTAGTTACTATGTGGCCGCCTTTACTAACTCAATTAAAAAAAACATTTTTCTTTTGGTCAGTAGAGCGTCTGATACATGCAGAAAACTATTACCATGCTTAAAAGCATCCAAACCTCACAGTTCCATACATGCTACCTAGATATTGAAATTTCAATGTACTGGAAAGGAATGTACACTCTCTCTCTCGCTTACCTAATGCCAGATAGTATTAGGCACTGGTTGGCAAGATCCGAGGCTAGGGAACCTCAGAGTATGTACTGGGGATTATTGCTAGAAATTAACCAGCTAAAACTGCATAGTTTGCTATCGAAAGTGCTGTCTGTCAAGCTTCTCAATGATTGTCCAGCTCGATCACTCTACCCATTGCGGCTTTAGCTTGCAGGGTAAATAGGAGCCGAAACCTAGTGACTAGTCTGTTCCTCCAAGCCCTCCCATCTATGAGTCAGGCTGACTGTGCTGTCTAATTACTATTAGGACTTGAAATATATTATTGTTAGAGGTCTGATCAAGAATAGTTCCCAAAGCAAGAGGAAAGGAATCGATAAAAAATGCGCTCTCGCAGCCCTAAAACAATCATTATATTCACTTGTGGTATAATATCAGTTATCTTTTTACAAATAATTTAAATAGGATTAACATTGCTCCCCTCCCTCCCCAAAATAAAATCACTTCCTACACCAGTAGTTTGGATCAAACCCAGATCGATGAGATGAAAGCCTTCAGTGTCTGACGGCTGCAAGGCACTGCATGAAACAAACCTGAGCAGTCTCAACTCAAATCCTCATGACCACGAATCCTCAGCACAGGAGATGTTCCTAATATGATAATCTGGCCTCTTTTTTGGGCAGCCGGGTCTCTGACACATGCGAATGCCCATCATCATGCTTAAGAGTAGGCAAACCAAGCTGAGATTTCCATGCATTTCACCTACACATGGAAATCCCAGAGATAGATTGTTGGAATGGAATGTGCACTCTCTCCCTGGAGGGACACATCCTGCTCACCTAATTCCAAAAAGTATTAAGCGCAGGTTGGCAAGAGCCAAGGTTTAGTGACCCCAGAGTGTGTGTTTGGGTACTACTGGAGTCTAACCAGCTAAAACCACATAGTTTGCAATTGATATTGCTGTCCAGCAAGCTTTCCCACTGCTTGTCCAGCTAGGACCATCCTACCCATTAAGGCTTTGGCTTGCAGGGTTAACAGGAGCTGAGTGGGATGACTCCCTGCCCCCAGTAATCTAGTCTGCCCTTCCAGGTCCTGTCGATGAGCCAGGTTGCGAACCCGCCTGGCTCAGGAACAGGACTATCGAGACCGCTACAGAGGGCTGACTCAATTCCAACATTCCATTGCCAGGCATATCACCTTAGAGCCAGTTCAGCTCAAGGAGATCCCGCTTTCCTCCCCTCTCCCGCACGCCCAGGATGATAGTCCGGCGGGTGTGAGAGGGGAGTGGATGGGGAGGCCTTCTTCACCAAGATTCTATTAAGACAATTTTGCTAGTGTAGGAAATAGAAATTTCCTATGAACACTCTTGAGATTTGGTGCCGACAAACTTTTCGGGGGCAAAGAAGAAGGAGCTTTACTTTGCTTGAGCCGAAAAAACATGATGTGGACAGACACTTGTTCCCTTTAAAAGTTCCCTTTCCCAGCACTAAAGGATATCGCAGATGGTACAGATCAGTAGATGGTACAAACCAACTGAATGGGGATAAGATGTTCTTTCCCAATCTAAATTGCATAACAAGCAAATCAGCATTGGTATTTCTCAGGATTGTAACACGTCCAATATTTTGCACATAGTTTGATCAATTGTTTCTGTTCTGGAATGGAATTATTATAATCCTTGCATTTGATATAGCTAGAGCCTTATCATATTAGCAATGCCTCAAAGCGCTTCACAGGATATACTGTAAAGTGGTATGATTGTGTATTTTGTGGACAAAGTTAACAAGTTTCAGAAACTGTACAAGGTTCAGATGCTGAATAAAATTGACTTCTAAAGCTACTCAATTAACTGAAGATTCCACTTAAACTGGAGCCAACTAGAAGCATATTTTTGGTGGCTTGCCTGTTGACAATATCCTCAGACCACACAACTCTAGTCTTTTCCAAGGTGTGCAAGCCTCCTGATTATCTTATAATAATAATCCTTGCATTTGATACAGTGCCTTATCATGTTGTTCAGATATCTCAAAGCAATGCAGAGGATATATTGTAAACATTTTTTTGTGGGTGAAACATGGCAACCAGTTATGCACAGCAATGTCCCACAAACAGCCGTGGAGTGATTGAACAATTTTTATTTGGGGGGATGTTGACCAGGACACTGGGAAAAACTCCCTTATAGAATTGTGCCATGGGATCTTTAACATCACCTGAACAGGGACTTCGGTTTAACATCTCATCTTATTAACACCTCTGACAATGCAACACCCTCCCTCCCCAGTCCTGCACTGGAGTGTCAGCTTAGACCATGTGATTACAAGTTCTGATGTGGGGCTTGAACACAACCTTCTGACTCAAAGGCCAGTTTGTTACTACTGAGCTTTTATAGATAGGAAGAGAAACTAGTTCATCTATCAACTTGTTTTCATCCTCTCTTTTACTGGAGGCCGAATTAATAATAATAATCCTTGCATTTGATATAGCGCTTTTCACGTCGGGAGGACGTCCCAAAGCGCTTCACAGAACACACCGTAAAGTGAATTGACTGTATATTTGTGGGCGAACGCGGCAGCCAATTGCGCACAGCAATGTCCCACAAACAGTCGTAGATTGAAAATGACCAATTTATTATTGTTTTTTGGTTTTTTGGAGGGATTATTATTAGGCGTGTGGAGTAAGGAAACTTGCCCAAGGTTTCGCCCTGCCTGGAATTGAACTCAGGTCTCTCGCTTGCAAAGCGAGTGCTCTAACCACTGAGCTACAGGACTCCGAATTCTCACCAAGTTTGAATCCTATGATGTTCAAAAGTTAGATGTTTCATGTGAATACCAAAAACAGCAATAGATAAAGCCTTCTTTGGTGTTTAAATCTCAATAGCAACATTTTAAACAGATTAAGATTTATATAAACTAGCATACATGCTGATTATACAACTAGCTTGAGATTCTAGTTTCTGGCCCCCAAAATACTTTTGGAATTGGGAGAAGAGAGTGACTTTGGTGAGAAATAAATACTAACTGCTTTTAAGCTCATTTCCTTTGGTATGATGACCTTAAAACAGTAAGGTGGTATACGTCATTATTGACAGAGGGTCGAGTGATACCTTTTTGTTGCCACACAAATTAAGTCTTTCATCAAATGCCTTTTAGCAGCAAGATTTAGGTCAGGTTTCTTCAAGGTGACAGACATCTCCAACAGTCATCAAGCAGCTAAGAAATGAAATATGAGCCACACAACATATAAGATGTAGTCCAAAGCTAGTAGATATGAGAATGTTCCCAAAGGCGTGCAAGGAGCAAAGGTTTTCTTTAATCGCAATAATGGCATTCCTTTCACATACTCAAATGGGAAAAAAAACATTTTAAAAGTACTTCGATATGTTGAACCAACTAGTCATTTCACTGTACATTTACCAGAACAGAAAGATAGATCTCATCTATATATGTGATACTTTATCATGGGGGGTGAGGGAATGAAGTGTCAAAAGAGTCGAATAATAAATAAACCTTGCCTTTAATATAGTACTTTCACTTAAGAAGGACATCACAAAATGCTTCACGGGATTTACTGTGAAGTGCAGCGGCTGAATATATTGTAGGCAAACATGGTAGTCAATTTATACACAGCAATGCTCCACAAACAACCATGAAGTGAATGATCAATTTTACCTGGACAGTTGTGGACCAGAACACTGGGACAGGCTCCTTTTTCTTTAGATAGTACCACGGGATCTCATCCAAAAGACAAGACTCCTGATGATGCAGAATTCCCCAGCATTGTATTGAGCATCAGCCTAGACTGCAAGTCCCGAATTGAAGACTTAAACCTGCAACCTTCAGACTCAGAACCTGGAATGCAACCAATCCGTCCCTTTGATAACCTCATTAATGCAACATTCACTCACAAGTGTCATCAGCTGAGCTTTATTGCCATCTTCATTATCAAATTTAAATTTTAATTTTAATTAAGCAAAGGTAAACTAAGCATAATGAATAAACCATCAGTGTTATTGAAAGAAAAATCTAAATAAGGTACAGAACTGGAAACCACAATACCCCAAATCACGAAACATGTACCAAGGGTATTCAGCAAATAACTATTGCTGCAATGATTAATCCTGTGACAAGCTGGGACCATATAGAACAAGTCATTAAGTCTTTGATTCTCTTCAAATTTCATATCCAAAATCTAATTTTAACTTCATCTACAAATCGCGTGAGCCCTGTCTGGATTTTAAGATTCCATGCACTATTCAGAAAGAGAGTGTCTGACACATGAGGAAACCTATCACCATGCTTAAGAATATCCAAATCAAACAGAGTTCCATGTGTCCCATCCCACCTATACATGGAAATTCCCAAGTTATTTATTGGAATCCAATGCACACTGTCCTCCTGGTTAATTAATCCTGGAGAGTATTACAACAACAAAATTACATTTGTATAGCACTTTTCAAGTTGGGAGGATGTCCCAAGGTGGTGGACAATCGGTGAGGGTCTTGAAGGAGGGAAGGGAAGGTGCGAGGCGGAGGGACTGTGGAATGGAGTTCCAGGGGGTGGGGGCAGAGTCTAAAGGCCCGACCGCCAAGGGTGAGGTGGGCAAGGCGGGGGACATGAAGCAGGCCAGAGCCCGCTGAGCGGAGGGAGCAGGCATGTTGAGCGGAGGGAGCAGGCATGTTGACCTGCCGTTAGGAGGTCACAGAGGTAGGGAGGAGCAAGGCCAT